CATGTCTAATTAGAAATTTTTACTGGAATCAGATAGTAAATCTCAGAGTTGAAGGTGAACGCACTCATTATGTGAAAATCATGCGTGGAGTGAGGCAAGGCTGTATTTTGTCTTCTCTAATCTTCAATCTGTACTCTGAAAGAATATTTATCGAAGCTTTGCACGAAACTAAGAAAGGTATTCTACTAAATGGTTACCGGCTAAACAACATCAGATATGCAGATGACACCATAGTATTTGCGGACAACTTAGAAAACCTACAAGTTCTTACGAACAAAATCACGTATTACAGTCAACAATATGGACTCAACATAAACGTTAAGAAGACAAAGCTTATGATAATTAGTAAGAAAAGGATAACAGAAGGTCAACTCTACGTCAACTAACCCCCTGTAGAAAGAGTGACGCACTACCACTATTTCAGCACCATAACCCCAAGGCATCATAACCAGGACATTCGAGCACGCATCGGAGAAGCTAGATATACCTTTAATCGGAAAGGGGCCTTCGCCAAGAGTCACAGCCTCTCTCTTGATACAAAATAAAGAATGCCTGCGATGCTACGTCTTCTCTGTCCTTTTTTATGGTGTTGAATCGTGGACCTTGAAAGAAGATATGTGCAGAAAACTGGAAGCATTTGGGATATGGCTATATCGGAGAATACTTAAGATCCCGTGGACTCACCGAGTCACAAATGAGGAGGTCATTAGAGGAATAAATAAGAACCGAGAGATACTGACCACCATCAAATCTTTAAAGTTACAATTCTTCGGACATATTATGCGAAATGAATCCAGATATGCTCTTCTTCAAGCCATCCTGCAAGGAAAAATATTTGGAAAACGAGGTCCAGGAAGAAGAAGAACATCTTGGTTAAAGAACCTTAGAATCTGGTTCAATACAACATCTGTACAGCTTTTTTGCGCTGCTGCAGATAAGATAAAGATTGTCATGATGATCGCCAATATTCGTAACGGATAGACACATCAAGATGAAGAAGATACCGCATTTAGAATCATAGAAGCCAATTGGAAATAAAACAAACATATAAAGCAAAATATAATTTATTAAACTGTAGACAAATAAAACCGAAATATGTAATGTATCTAATCAAACTCTATGTGTCTTTGCCCATGCAAAAAAATTGATATTTCGAATTATTATCTGGTTAGATCTCTATAAACTCCCTTGACACTGGCGAAGCGTCCATGTAATCACCTCAATGTATATCTAGGTTATGTCAACAAACTAGGAAAACCAAATCAAGATGCTTAAAAAAAGAACACAACTGACATGGGATGCTTTCGACAAACTAGCATATATCTTGAAAAACACCCCCATTTCTGTAAAGTTAAAGAAAAAGGTGTATAACACATGCATACTATACTTGTTCGCTATTCCCAGTCCGAATTGTCTAGTAAATTTAGTAATTATTTTTTTGCGAAGTTAGTTACTTTTTACAGACTAAGTGTACACCTACATTGGAACCGTATTTCTCCCGATCCGATATCGGGCGACGTCGGCCGACGTCGGATTGGAAACAAACTCAAGGTATTAAATCATAGTGCCTATACTGCTTCCGTGACGAAGCAGTATAGGCACTATGATTTAATACCTTAAGTTTGTTTTCAATCCGACGTCGGCCGACGTCGCCAGATATCGGATCGGGAGAAATACGGTTCCAATGTAGGTGTACACTAAAAGTGGCTGGAAATTACTGTACAACCAAGCACACGTACTTATAGCCATATTAATAGTAAACACACTAAATAGTAAATAAAATTGAACTTTGCGAATTACAGACAATCAATATTTGTTTATCTGCACCATATAATAAATAGTTACGTTAAATTATAACAACTAAAATATATTTTTTAAATATATACCTACTACCCAAAATTTGATGGGTTTAGTATACACTTCCACTTCTTCTTCTTCTTCTTCTTCGTCTAGCCATTCACGTCCACATCTGAACATAAGCCTCTTCAAGTCTTCCTTTCCATTGGTTTTTATTGTACGCTACTTGTAGCCAATTTTTCCCGGCAGTCCTTTTCAGATCATCTGTCCATCTCATAGGAGGTCTGCCTCTGGGTCTTTTGTGTTGGTATGGTCTCCAGGTTAAAATTGATCTGTGCCATTTGTTTAGATCGCTCCTAGCTACATGTCCAGCGTATTCCCATTTCAGCTTTAATGCTTTTTGCACCACATCGGTGACTTTGGTTTTCTGTCTTATCCATGTGTTTGTTTTCTTGTCCTTAAGTGATATACCTATCAGTGCTCTTTCCATCGCGTGTTGAGTGACTCTAAGTATATTCATATTCTTTTTTGTGATTGTCCATGTTTGTGCCGCATAAGTTAATATCGGAATAATGCATGCATCAAAAACTTTAGATCTAAGATGTAATTGAATTTGTTGATTTCTGAGTATATAGTTCAGTTTACCGAATGCTGCCCAAGCTAACTTTCTTCTTCTTTTATTTCTTCAGTCTGAATTTCCCTATTTAGGATTATTTTTTGTCCCAAGTATATATATTCTTCAACTTTTTCTATAACTTTATCGTTTATTATTGTCACGGTGTCTTCGGAGTGCATGACTTTTGTTTTGTTTAAATTCATTTTCAGTCCTATTTTAGAAGATTCGGTATGAAGTTCTACAAGCATGGTTTGCATTTCTTGTAGGTCAGTAGCTATCAGAATTATGTCATCTGCAAATCGTAGATTACTGAGGTAGCGGCCATTGATGTTTATTCCCTTATATTTCCAATTTAGGTTTTTAAAAACGTCCTCCAAAACTAAGGTGAACAGTTTGGGTGATAAAGTATCTCCCTGTTTGACTCCCCTGTTTAATGGTACAGGGTTCGTGTGTTCATTTTCATTTAGGTAGTATGTAGCTGTAGCTTGGTTCATAGTTTCTTTTATTAAATTAATATAGCTGCTGTATATTCTACAATTTTGCATTGCGTTTATTACGGCCGTGTGTTCTATGGTATCGAAAGCTTTGTCGTAGTCTACAAATGCAAGGAAAACTGGAAACTTGTATTCGTTACATTTTTCTATTAATATTTTTGTGCTTAACAGGTGATCGGAAGTTGAATAGCCTTTTCTAAAACCTGCCTGTTCATATGGTTGGTATTCGTCTAATTTCCTTGTTAGTCGAGTAGTTATGACTTTGGTAAGTATTTTAAACAGGTGTGACAGTAGGCTGATGGGTCTGTAGTTTTCCAATTTTCGACTATCACCTTTCTTGTGCAATAAGATTACTGTAGAGCTGTTCCAGCTCTTAGGGACTTTGCCCTGATGTAAACAACTGTCCACAAGCTTAGTTACAATTGCAATTAGTTCCTTACCTCCTTCTAATATCATATCTGTGGTAATACTATCTTCTCCTGCAGCTTTATTTCTCTTCATGTTTTCCAATGCTGTAGTTACCTCTGAAATTGTTACTTTTGGCATTATTTCTGATCCAACATTTTTTATTAATTTCCGTGCTGGTCTCATCTCATCATCTTGTTGATGTGATCTGTAAAGTTCTGTGTAAAATTCTTCTATTCGTGTCAGTATGTTTTCTCTACTTGTGATTTCATTTTCGTCTTTTCCTATTAATGATATCATCTGACGTCGTCCTAGTGTCGGTCTGAGACATTTCATACTCTTATTGTTTTCAATAGTTGTTGTTATTAATTTTTCGTTTTCTTTTCTTTTTTGTTGTCTGATTCCTTTTCTAATCTGCCTATTAAGTTCTCTATATTCGTCGGTTCCCCTTTTGTTAGATTTATTTAAGATCTTCCTTCTTTCTATTTGTTTTAATATTTCTTTGTCTAATTCATTGCATGTTGTTCTCGGTTTTTTCAGTTGCAGAAGGCTTTTATTCACTGTTTCGGTAATAAGGTTATTCAAATCATCAATATCATTGGAGTTTATCTGCTGCATGCTAACTTGATTTAATGCATGCACTATCTTTTTATTAAATTCACTATTTTTGATTTCTTCAGATGTCCATTTGTATCTTTTTTCATGTATTCTTTTTCTTTCTAGTTTTTTGTTAATTACTAGTTTTGTTCTTATTAGTCTATGATCGCTTCCTAGGTCACACTTCCACTATTTAGAATAATTCTTCATTTTTCAAAGTAAGAAGTCTGCAATAGTAGTATACCTGAGCTATTAATACTAAGAAGTAGGAATTGTTGTGCTGTAGGTTTCCAGCAATGAATCTGTCAAAATATGCCCGAGCTAAGCGAATGGAGTATACCAGTTTGTATCTACATCTTGGAGACAGTAGCCCTTACCAAAATATCTGCTAAAAAATTAGAAACAACGCAAAGAGCAATGGAACGAATCATGCTTGGAATATCACTGAGAGACAAGATTAGAAACACCGAGATGAGACGTAGAACAAAGATTAGGGATATTATGGAAGAAATTACAAAAATGTAATGGCGCTGTGCAGGTCACGTAGCCCGATATAATGACAACAGGTGGACACAGAGAATTCCAGAATGGGGACCAAGGACGACAACAAAAAGGACGGGAAGACCTCAAAAATGATGGGTAGATGACATAAGAGTAGTGGCAGGCAAACAGTGGATTAGATTGCCGCAAGATAGAGAAAGATGGAAGCAATTGGGAGAGATCTACATTCAGGAGTGGATGGGAAAAGGTTAACAAAGAGAATGTAATAAAACTGTACCTATATCAATGACCTACGCTGTCGAGACACGTACATATAAATAATAAAAAGCTTCTATAGATGAACGAAGCAAGAATTTGTCCAGCAATCTTCATATAATAAAGACCAGCTTAAAACTGACATTAACAGTTTTTTCTATTTCAGTAAAAACCAATAAGCCAGAAATTGGTATTTACGGTTAGAATTATTAATGTAAAAATAGTGGTAATATTCGTTACTGTATCAAATATTTGAAATTTTTATTAACAATATTTGTAGATATCCTGTATAAAAGTCTTTCAAGAACAAATTTAAAAATATACTAAAAATTTACCTTGATAGAGCCTCATTAGCTCTTTGATACTCCTCTTCATCCTCGAGCCGTTCTAAAGCTTCCTGAACCTTTTTCAACAATTCCCGGCGCAGTGCTCTGATTTGTATTGATTGACTCTCTTGAGGATTTAGCAGTTCTTCCAACATTTGACTATCATCTAGGTCTATTGATAACACCTAAAAATAATATTTATGTATTTTTATCACAAAACTAAATCCTTGGTGTATTTTAAATTTTAATATAAGTATTAGATATTTTAAAAGACCGATGCTGATATTGGGAAAAAGATCTATCGCACGTGAAGGCGGAAGGATTTAAATATCTTATCTCAAATTCAATCACCGCCTTTATTATATTATATTATAGTCCACTCACTCACTTCGACTGACAATCTCTTGTAGTGTAATGCAGAGTAGTAATTTCAAGTTTTACATAATATTAAAAACTATAGTAAAAAGGAAATTATAATTAAATACGAGTAATAGTATATTACTTTATGAGGCGGAGAAGCATGACTTTTCTTGACGTGCCCGATATCTCACTTCGTTCGGCGCGTAATAGAGGGCAAGTCAAGAATAGTCGCTTCTTTGCCGAATAAAGTATACTATTTTTTCTTCAAACGTAGCAATTTTCAACCATAAATAGTACAATTCGTACGCTATTTTTACTCGAAATTAACTGTGACAACTATCAAAGTCGTCTAGATGTCAGAAATTAAAATAATTAAGTCGTCGGTGGGATTTGCGTCTCCCTGGTTACAGTTGTTTGACAGTTGTTTGCAATTATTAAAAAGAATTAAATTTTTGAGAGAATATACGAGACTTAAATCTGAAAATGCAACATTCGTATACTATGAGAGATGGATATTTGCAAAGGGTGAAATTAAAAGAATTTGGCAAGACGACAGCATAAAATTAATAAAACACACAGATAGCGAAGGCAAAAGACACATCATTCTTCATGCAGGGTAAGAAGGCTTTATAGAAAACGCAGATTTGATTTTTTCTTCAAAATCTGCTGATTACCATAAAAACATGAATGCAGATGTTTGTTAAACGGCTTGAGGAGAAACTGTTACCTAGTCTAAGTGAATTATCAGTTATAGTTTTAGATAATGCCCCCTACCATTCGGAGAATTTGGAGCAACCACCAAAACAATCATGGAACGTACCGAGCATAAAAAATTGTTTAGTTAAAAATAAAACAGAGTTACTAGAAATTTCGAAACGTATTGCAAAAGCAATAGTTTATATAGTTAACCAAATGGTATCAAGTTATGGACATTAAGTACTACGGTTATCGCCGTATCACTGCCAGTTTAATCCCATCGAACACGTCTGGGGTATATCTGAAACGTATTATGATAATCACGTTGGATGCAGTAGATACAGTGACGATGCAGTTAGGAAAATGTGGCAAGAAGCTCTTAAAACTGCAACTCCAGAAATCTGGACCAAAACTGTAAATAAATGTGAAAAATTAAAAGACGAGTGGTGGATACGGGAAAATAAAATTATTGAAATTAATCCAGTAATTATAGATTTACACAATGATAGCGGTAGTGAATTTAGTGACGACGATGATGATTTATAAATTTAAATAATCAGTAAGTACACTATTATAATGTTATTTAAAAAATAATTGTACAGTAGGTTAACTGTACATACATTATATTTATACATTCATTATTAGCCTAATAAACAATAATATTTAAAATTTCATTTAAATTTTTTCTCCTTATTTTATAAAAATTAACTGTTGCTGATATTACAGTATAATTAAACAAAGTAAGTAATTAAAAAGATTATGAAGAACTCCAGTGCAGTTTACAGTGCCTTTTACTACAACGAAAAATTTTCTGCGAATTCCATTAATCGTTTAGAGGTGTAGGTTGGTTGAATGTACTGTACCTTTTGTTGAATGTACTGTTGAATGTACTAGTGATCTTTTGGGAACAAATAATGTGCCTCCCAGAGTACTGTTTTCGGTGCCATTCATCATAAACGATAAAGCAGTCGGCGCCGAGGTAACGTTAAAAAAATAGCGGCCAAACCTTTTAACGCCGAGCGTCATCAAGAAAGATCTTAAGATAAACAAAATATTTAAATTTCACTACTTGTTCTACTACACTTCTCAACAACTGAACTGGATATTATGAAAATGTCAAATAGAAAAATGAAGTGATATAAATAAAGATTTATTTTTACTTCGTATTTTCATACAGATGAACCGAAAGAAAGAAATCCTTTAAGAAAAAAAAAAATAGAAAATAAACAAAAATTGTAAAATTAACAACCTAAAATTTCTATTCCTGCTCAATTTCTAATATCCCGAAAAGAAAAATTAATAGTGTGTGGGTCCACCTCTGTGTCGCCTTAGCGCTTTAACTCTATTTGGAAGACCTCTTATTAAATTATTGATGAACTGCTGTGGTTATACGTTCCCAAATCGCGTGTAATGTATTGGTCAACTGATCTAAGGTTTGGGGCGTTTGAAGGAGCCTGTTTTTTTGCCTAGACATTTCGGCCCAAACATGTTCAATGCGATTCATATCAGGTGAACATGGTGGCCACTCCATTCTTGCAATGCCATGAGCTTCTATACACTTGTTGACAATTCCCGCATGGTGATGGCAAGCAGTATCATCAATCAGAACAAATTGTTTGCATATTGCATCAAAAAATGGAACAACTATTAGTCTATTGGTACTATGACTTTGTCTAGATATCGTGTAGCAGTCATTGTCTTATTAATTAAAACGACTAAGTCCGTGCGACCGTCAAAACATATGCCTCCCCACACGCAAACGGATCCACCTCCAAAAAGAGTGGTTGGGACTTAGATTTTCATGGTAAAGCTGTCCTCTTTCCCTCCACACCAATATTAGGCCATCATTCGTATACAAACAAAATCTGGGCTTGTCAGTAAAGAGACAATTCCTCCAATTTTCTAAATTCCACTGATAGTGTTCTATCGCCCAGCGATATCTGCATGTTTCCTAGAAGTCGTGGATGGGTAGCGCGCCGTCTAGCCCTTAAATTGAATACATGTAACCGTCTTCTGACAGTTTGACTGGAAATCGCTCGTCCAGTAGCATGCCTATATATAGCATGAGCAGGAAAAATATAGCAGGAGACCTAAGCACTATGGAGAATTGGATGGAGGTTGCTCAAGACAGAAAACAGTAGAGGTATGTTGTCGAGTTGGCTAAAACCCACGAAGGGTTGTAACGCCACGAAGTAAGTAAGTAAATAAGTAAGTAAGTAAGTAGCATGCCTGAAGATACTGTTAATTATAGAAGCCATGAATGTTGGGTTTCTTCTTGCCGTCAGAACTACAAAACGGTCTTGCCGACGAGTTGTAGATCGTTCTCTTCCTACTCCATGCCTGTATGTTGCAGATCCAGTTGCTACATACCGATTCCATGCACGACTTATCACACTTTGCGACACATTTAGCCTCATAGCAACCTCTTATGCCTTGTTGGATCCAACGAACTAATTGCTCGAGCTGCACTAGTTCTAAACGTCTTTGCGGCATAATGTTTTTGTGATAAATAGATTTCTTGAGTTTTTGACAACTAGTAAAGCCAATACAAGCACTTTTATATAAATGATATATTCATGTATGAAACAACATTTCTCTCTTTGTACGAGATAAGGGCCGATAAGAATAGGGAGAAAAAAACACCTGTAAAAATATATTGGCAATAAAGATAGCATATAGAGTATAGCACAGGCAATTATTTTAAAAATAGTTTTATATGTTAATTTTAGGAATTTTAAAATTAACCACTTCAATTTATGAGTAGTGTATTTTGTTTTCGATAATTAGGTATTTAATAACTTTAATTTGTAAGTACTCTAAAGTTTTTGAATACGAACATTTGCTGATTATTATTGAATATATTATGTATACGGAATTAAATCAGACTGAAATGTTTCACTACGCAATTCGCGTAGGTGATCGTAATGTATTAGTGGTTTAAAAGGTCAGTTGTGTATTAATGCATTATTCAAATATATTAAAACTTCTATCAACAAAAGGTATTATGAAAATAATCCCCTCTATTATATAACTTGTTATACCATATTATTATAGCTTTATTATATTCTGTCGGGGTCATATTGCATAATAATTCAATTAATTCATTTTAGTGAAATTTTATTTGCAAGTATTTGTATATCTGTACAAATATAAATTTTTAACTAAACAAATATGAGAAACCTTTTGGTTTTTCCAAGATGGCGTCCGATAGTCAAGTCGCAGTTTTAACAACAAGCTAAAAAAGCAGGGAATAATTGACATAATAGTGAATTTTAAGTTACCACTGTCCGTTTCAAATCCTCAGCTATCAGAGTACGTTAATAGAATAACACTAACAGTGGAAAAATACATTAAAGCATTCAATGTCGAACATAACCTAGACGTTATTGTGTATGATCAGTGTATAAAGACAAACAAGGAACTAAGTAAAATAAAAAGTAAACTTGCAGCAGTAGAAAACTATTATTCCATTTACGGGAGAGCAACAAGATTTAATTGTTTTAACAAAAGATAAATATAATAAAAATTCAGCCATACCCATACTAACATCATCTAGCGAAAAAACTGTAAATAAAGCAGACCCGAGCAACTCTACCAGTTCTACCAGTGAAGAAACCATTAAATTGTCATTAAACAAAAACACAAGTCGACCTATTTCATACATGAGTGATAAACAAAAAGAAAATAAAACCAATCTAAAAACAGGACACTCACTTTGGAATACCCAATCGAAAAAATAAAACAGAGATACAAACCAATTATTGTAAGCAATGAATCGTCTACTGTAAACACCATTCCTAGACCAGGCCATGTACATGTGTCCGGCCTAGGTGTTGATATGAATACCCATGATCTTTAAAATTCTTTGGTGAGACGGTACCCGATACTACTTTTAACTGTGTGAAATGACATAGAATTGTTAAATACTCTACATACAGAGTGGCACAAAAGTCTGGAAACGGCCAATTATCTCGTAAATTGCTAGTTATAATTGTACAAAATTTGAGGTACACCTATTTTGGGATACGGAGAGTCCATATTTGATATTTGCAATGTTGCCAGATTTTCCGTTTCTCTGATATTATTAGTAACTTTGGTTTTTCAAATGCATCACCCTGTATATTCAGTC